TATGAGCCTTTGTCAGTTTTAAACCGATCAGGTTGAAATTTGGCATGCAGATAGATGTTATGACGTAAGCATCCGCTTTGAAAGGATTTTGATAATTTCCACCAAGGGGGTAAAATAGGGGATGAACGTTTGTGTGAGGCTTTGTCAGTTTTACACCGATCGGGTTGAAATTCGGCGTGCAGATGGATATTATGACGTAAACGTCCCTTTAGAAAGGTTTTTGAACATTCTCACCCCAAAGTATGATACTTTGCCAGTTTTAAATTGATCGGGCTGAGACTTTGCATGCATAAAGTTACTATGACATAGGTATCTCTTTAGAAAGGATTTTGATAAATTCCACCCCTAAGGGGATAAAATAGGGAATGAGAGTTTGTATAAATCTTCTTAGCCGTTGAATTTAGAATCATTGAATCTTTTTGAATTACATTCGGTAAAACGATGATTTGGGACCTGGGTAACGTATGATAGTTTTTTCACAGATGTCTCACGAGAACGGGAACTATGCGTCAATGCCCCAGGACTCTCTAACTCTTAACCACTGAACTTATTCTAGAGAGATTCGGTACAACAATAGTCGATAGAATAGTTTTTATTACTCAAACCTTACGTGATCGGGCACTGTACTGGTAAGATCCCTGCGGGATTATTTATTTATTGAAACTACGATAAATCATTTCAAAATAGGTAAATCTTACTTGGGCACTGAATTGATTCTGGTTAATTCTGTCAGAAGTCATTAATCTACGCGGACGAAGTCGCGGGCAACAGCTATCTACACATATAATAAATCGTAGAAAAGTCAAAACTGTACATTGAATATTTTTTAAAAGAATATTTGAAGCGTGATCTCTAATCGATACCGAAGCCAATAATGTGGTTTTTAGAATTTTTGTCTGTTTGTCTGTATGTATGGCCGTGATGATCTCAAAAAGTACTGCACTACTATTTCAAATTTTGCATGAATATTACTAACAAGTCTGGTAAACATATAGGCTACATATTATCACGCTATCATCTACGGGACTGAATCAATTCTGACGACATCCATTACCGTAGAATATCCCTTGATAAAAACTAATTCAAAAGCCTAAATTCTGCCAGAAGTCATTATTCTACGCGGACGAAGTCGCGGGCAACAGCTAGTTTATAGCATAAATACATTCACCGAGGGTCATTAATCAGCGGAGAATCTTGACACCGCGATTCAGAAAATGACAACGCCATCTAGTTTCAAAATTGGAACTGATTGTACTAGAACTAATTTAAATTACGGTTGACGATTAAACAATTTGGTCAGTTGTTTCTAGTTTTTACCAATTTGCGAAAGAAAAGAGTGTATTCCTTTTTAAAATGCCGGCAACGCATTTGTGACTCCTTTGCTTTTGCGGGTGTCTTTGGGCGGCGCTGATCGCTTGCCGTCACGTGAACCGTCCTTCATTTTCTCTTCAAAATAATGTTGTTTTTAAGTAGGAGTTATTTTATATCCCAGTATGATATCTAACAATAGATTTTTTCGCGATACTATATCTATGAACTTGGCGAATTTGGTGTTTATTGTTGTTATAAAGCAGGACTATAAGGAGCTTTACTTAATACTCTTTAGTCTTGATTACATCCTATAAATATATGTAGAAAATATCAAATAGGAATCGTAAGCCTCAAAAAGCCTTTGTTTTAGGTTCAAAATAAATATCCGTCTTAGACTTTGTAAATTCTGAAATCTACGAATACTAAATACCTTGAGGTGATTTTGGAATTCTAATTTTCACTTTTATCTTTAGTCTATTCTGAGTTATTTCTACAACACATTTAAAGATTACAATTGGGACTTAATAGAAGAAGACTTTTTAGATGTCTAAATTTTATATCGTTACGTGAAAGGTTACAAAAAAAAACAACACTACCACTTTGATATGGAGTGCTGTTTTACCATATATTTTTTATTGTTTTGTGAAAGTAGTATGAGATTTAAACAATGACTGTTTATTTTACTCAGTTTGTAAACATGGACCTAAGAAAAGCTTTCAGAATTAACAAACAAAAGAAAGGTTACAAAAAAAACAACAGTACCACTTTGATATGGAGTGCTGTTTTACCATATATTTTTTATTGTTTTGTGAAAGTAGTATGAGATTTAAACAATGACTGTTTATTTTACTCAGTTTGTAAACATGGACCTAAGAAAAGCTTTCAGAATTAACAAACAAAAGAAAGGTTACAAAAAAAACAACAGTACCACTTTGATATGGAGTGCTGTTTTACCATATATTTTTTATTGTTTTGTGAAAGTAGTATGAGATTTAAACAATGACTGTTTATTTTACTCAGTTTGTAAACATGGATCTAAGAAAAGCTTTCAGAATTATTTCTAAACAACTTTATCATAAGATTAAATTTCCAATACAAGTTTAATTCGATAATATTAATATTCTAGATTATTGAGTATTACCTAGACTTAAAATAAGTTGTATTCTTGGTAGTATTAATGATACCGTAAGTTAACGGAGTTGGTTAGGAGGATTAAGGTTTAAATATAGATATGGTTTTAGAAGTAACTTGTCTTACATTATCATTTGTTTTCATAATGACAGTACGAATTATAGGTTTGGTCTCAAGTAAGTTCATTTCACAAAGAATAAATTCGCATATCATAAGAATGAATTAATAAATGTGAATTTATTTAAATTTTATCGTCACTTCTCTACTAACTTGTTTTTTATGGAAAAATGCGGTAATCGAGCAGGTAGTTCACCTGATGGTAAGCAATCGGCGCCGCCCATGGACATCCGGAACACCAGAGGCGTTACCGTCCTTTTTGGTAATTAAGAAGGTTCGGGGATTGGGAATGCTGGGGAGGGGGAGTAATTGGGCCTCTGTTAACCTCACTCACAAGACGAAACATAACGCAAGCGTTGTTTTACGTCGATTTTCTGTGAGGCCACTAACTCATAGAAAATATCATTGTATCACACGGGTCGAGGCGGCCCATCGGTGCCGAAGCATGACTCTCCCACACTTATAACTGCTCGCATGCCTATCTTTCCATTTCATTACATGCAGAACCTGCTACCACTTATAACAACAGCAAATAACAATGAGGTTTATTACCCACTACAATTCATCCCTTTCACGACAAAACAAAGCCACTTGCAAACTTTTCAACGCACAACGTACGGAATTCTAACTAAAACAGTAGTAGCTCGATAGGCACATTCGATATGTGAGTTATAATGGCGCCCTCAAGCGACATTGTTCCGATGACGTCACGAGATAATAAGTCCTCTACCACTGATTTATGAGAATAGTTTTTGTTACCGTTAACGGCGATGTGTGTGTGTGTATGTGTGTGTGTGTGTAAAGGATTTGTGGGTATTTCTATAAGGTTAAACCACGGCTTAGGGATTTACAGTAGTAATGAAATTTTCTATATAGAGACGTTATTTTATATTAGAACACTTCTATATAATGTAATATTGTATCTGTTATCCCTTGAAGGAATAGGTAAATAAGAATATAATAATAATATAAGGTGTGTTGTGTATATGTGTCTAATTTGGGAACTTATAACATTTAATAATTTTGAACACCTAGTGCCTACTCCTTCAGGAATGTAAGTAAAGGCGAAACGTTGTTATTTATCTGTGGGTCAGTAAATACAAAGAATCAAAACGTCTAAAACCTCTAAAGCTGTAAAGAAAACATCTAATCTAACCTACTTAAAAAATCGTGGACAAAGGTTAGTTTACATAATAATAACTTCGTAAAAATGACTTTGTATTGCCAATACAAAGATTAATTAAAAATAATGAGGACATATTAGATTAATCTTAAAGAAAGTTTTATGTTACACAATTATCAAAGTAAATTATTTATATATAAGAAAACATGAATCATTATTTTCATTCTGAAAGATAATGAAAAAAATCAGTAGAAGTCTAAACGAATTAATTAGAAATACCGTACCGGCTAAATGTCGTACATCTTGTTACAGCTGTATTACCTTAAACATAACATAACATCATGCCATTTATCCCCGAAGGGGTAGGCAGAGGTGCACATTATGCCACTGTACAATGTAACACCCACTTTTCACTATTTATGTTATGAGTCCCATGTAATAGGGGGCGAACCTATTGCCATATACCGGGCACAATTCCAAACTCCGTGCTACTATTGAGAATTTTTACAAAACCCAGTAATACTTTTCCCGACCCGGAAATCGAACCCGAGACCCCTTGCCCAGCAGTCGCACTTGCGACCACTAGGCCAACGAGGCAGTCAAATATTACCTTTCATTAAAAAAATATTATTCATACGAAAATTATTGATATGATTTATATACATAGCTACATGTGAGCTACGCCGTATCACTTAGCATAGCATTTCGTAGCACGTGGGAGATCGTAGCAATACGTTAATGAAAATATTTCTGCAAATGACCATTTATATATTTAATCGAACCCTCATATCTGTTTCAACAGAATGTTTATGTAACCTATACGTTAGTATTTCAAAATGATTTTGCTGCTTATCAAATTGGTTTTTTTTTCGATCCTACAAAAAGAAAAACTTTTATTCCACACAAAACCCAACTTCTCGAATACATAAATTAAGTAAAACATTTTCGCAGTAAACCCATAATATTCTTCAATTTCCAGCTAGCGAGCTTGCCCTGAATTTTAGGAAAAAAGCCTTTTGAATAAAACGCATCATACAAAACATGCGCGGAATGTGTGAGCATGCTTTTAGTATATTGGTATTCGTACTCACGACAGACTCACGACAGAGACTGTGCGAAGTGGCTCTTAAGTCCCCATTCTACATGAGACTAGTTGTTCCATTGTATTATTATGTAATGGCTGAGACAGCCAACTCTAGTCTCAAAACTGGGAATTTGTAAGCTAATGTTATGGGAATTTTGAGTTATTTTGTTTGTTTCGGATGCATTACATTTTCTGCGATAGTTACTGAAGTAACTGATAAATAAAAGACATGCGTCGAGTACATGCATTTATTTCGAACTGGCTGAGATAGGTATTTGACAAGTAAAGGCATTACAACTACCCGCTACATATTATAATATGCAACACCTCCACCCTTAATTTGTAATAAATATAATTACACTAAAAATGATAATGAAAACAATGTAAATGAACCTACGACTCAAATAAAGATTATACACAATTTCTATGTTTCAATTTTTAACTATCACTTGTAACAATCATCTATTCCATATCGTCTGACTGGTTTACATACTCGGCGAACACCACGCGATTCATTAGTAACATTGTTGTTCGAGCCATGATTATCCATTTCCTGCACATTGGGCACGCTAGGCGTTGGAGGAATTGCCGTTAATACAGTGTCGTCGGTTAGGTTTGGCGATGCGCCCTCTGTTACGGCCTCGCTCGGCCTGTTGACGGGCGCGTCGGACTGATTGTCGTTGTTTACTGGAAACATTAGTGAAGGGCGGAATCGTTTTAGAGGTGGTTCGCGTACTGGGTGACTGGTACGATTATTATTATTATTACGTGTTAAGTTTACTATTTTAGTTACATCGTTTGACACTCTTCGCTTTAGTTGGTCGATATGTCTGTGTTCCTCGGTTCCAGTGATAGATCTGACTTTGTAATCCGTACTACCTGTCCTCTCTTTTATTGTCCCTGCCGTCCACTTATCAACGCCGCGATAGTCTCTAAACCAGACCTTCTCACCTGCTGCAAATTGTCTAATCGCTCCTTCCGCTGATGTTTCTGCTTGCTTTTGCCTAGCTTTTACTAATTTTTCCTGATCAGGTTTCAAACAATCTAAACGCATGCGTAAATTTCGCCCTATGCACATTTTTGCAGGACTTTCACCGGTTGTGTAGTGTGGTGTATTTCTATAAGCTAATAGGAATCTACATAAAGACGTGTGTATGTCTCTTCTACTCTTAATTGCTTTTTTAATATTACGTTTACAAATTTTAACAGCATTTTCCGCCGCCCCATTCGAAGCTGGGTGATATGGGGCTGAAAAAATTTGTTCAATTCCATTGCTACTTAAAAATTGTCTGAATTCGTTACTGAAAAATGGTGGACCGTTATCACTAACCACTTGTTTCGGTAAACCGAATCTTGCCCACATTTCTCTTAACACTAGAAAGACCAAGGCAGTCAAATTGACCGCAAGGCAATTTCATTGTTAAATATTTTGCAAACTATGTTTTAGTTCCTTTTAATATTTTATGACTTTTCCTAATTTGCTATTCTTAGGCTTAATCTATATTTATAAAAAAAATAAGTATATGTTGTATTTGAGTTTCGATTAGAAATACCTACTAAGACCGCGCACCGTCAATGTGACGGCACACATATAAAGACAGCGATAAGAATAGTGAACAACGATCTCGTCAAACTAAAGTGGGTAGTTTTGTTTTTATTTATGTTGGGTTGAATTCTGACTAATTTATTAGTACCTAACTTGTTTACATTTTATATTAGGCATTGGTTCCGTTCGCTGAGCAGTCGTGTGGCACAGAAAGGACTTTTGTTTCTCCAAATGCCAGTGAAGAGGGACGTCGTAGCTAGGGCCAAAACGTAACCTCTGACAACTTTTTCACATCACTAAATTCGGCTAAAACACTATTGGTCGAAGACTAGTATTGTTGGAACAATGCGGTGTGCAAGACGAGAAGTGCCACTGATTTGTAGAGGTATTCATACTACAAGATATAAAACCTTCATAATGAAAACCGTTACCGATACAACCCTTACTGTCTATCAAGGAAAACCTGGAACACATGTTATTATTTTGAGTACTCTGCACCTCAACATAAATATAGGTACTGACAAAAAAGTTGCCTGAAACAATTGAATTTTACAATAGGTACAACAAAATGTAGTGTAGACATCAGCGATCAAATGGCACGCAAGTACACCGTAAGAGCTGGAATTCGGGGATGGCCTGTCATGTATTTTATAATATACTTGATTTAGTAGCTATAAACTCGTGAATTCTTTATCAAAAAGTTATTAGGAATAAAAAATTCTCGTCATGATTTCATCATTCAACTACTGAGCGTACTACGTGAAGAGTGTGTGAAAAAAATCCACTTCAACTATGACACAGCATCAAGAAACTAATTCTAAAACGAGTGTACCATCTACTAAAAACAATAAGAGGTGGTAATGTCAAATCAACAGAAATTGTATAAAAAAATAAAACATGTGAAAACTGCATTATCTGTAAAAAACCTGTTTGTGGAAAATGTAGAAAACAGTTTAAAAAACTACTAGATACTTGCTACAAATGTTACTCAATTTAGTACATTTTTTTAACTGTTAGTAAAAAAATACATTTATATTATTTTTATTTTATTTTAATGGAAAATATGCAATAATTTCATAAGTTTTCTGTCTTAATCTCTAGTACCGTCAAATTGACCGCTGCGGTCTTTGTAGGTATAGCATGAAGCCTGGCCCTTCTAGTGTTAACTCCTTTATAACAGCTGTAGCTGTAGTGCTATTCATTTTAATTGCCTCTATCCACTTTGAATGAGCATCAACTACAATAAGGAAAGTTTGTCCCGCTATAGGCCCTAAAAAATCTATGTGTATCCTAGTCCATGGGCGGTTTGGCCATGGCCATGCGCGCGGTGCGTGGGCCGGAGGGGCGTCAGCTACCGCCGCACACACGTTGCAGGCACGGCACGCTGTTTCCACAGCCTCGTCTATGCCCGGCCACCACACATAGCTCCGAGCCAGCGCCTTCGTTTTTACTATCCCCATATGCGCCTCATGGAGCTCCGCAATAACTTTATCCCTGCAAGAGTTTGGAATAACGACCCTATGTCCCCACATTACACAACCTAGTTCCATGTACAACTCATGTTTTCTGTTATTATATGGTTTTAATTCCCTCATTTCGACGTCGTTCGGCCAACCGTCATTAATATATCTGACTACTCTGCTTAATATAATATCCGACGCCGTTTCTTTTTTTAATATCTGTGATTCCAAAAGTAACGCTTCTGAAGCAAAATGTAAATATGTTTGCTCTGGGGTGTCTAATTCTTCCTTAGAAGCCCCTTCCTTATGCTCACTAATCAACCTAGACAAAACATCTGCTGTATTTTTGTCTGTGCGAATGTATTCTATATTAAAATCATAAGCGGATAACTTAATAGCCCAGCGTTGTAGTCGACTAGCCGCCGTGTTGGGAATACCCGCCTGTGGTCCAAAGATTGTGACTAACGGTTTATGATCCGTACGTAAAGTGAACTTTCTACCAAATAAATATTGATGAAATTTGTCCATAGCAAATACTATCGCGAGGGCTTCTTTATGAATCTGACTATAGTGTTGTTCAGCCGAAGTGAGCGCGCGCGACGCATACGCCACCACCCGCTCACCGCCGCCGCCGAAGGGCGCGCGCTGCGCTAATACCGCGCCGAGCCCACGCGAGCTGGCATCGCATGTTACTATGCTCTCCAACGACATATCAAAATGTGTCAACACTTCCGCACCACACAAAAGCTTTTTAATTTTATTAAAACACTTTGTATGTGACATTGTCCATCTCCAATGTTTACCTTTTTTTAATAAGTCATAAAGAGGGTTAATATGAGTGCTTAAATTTTTTACAAATTTTCCATAGAAATTTACCATGCCTAAAAACGATTTTAATTCCGATATATTAGTTGGATGAGGCATACCTAAAATGGGTTTTAACTTTTCCGGGTTGACTCGAACACCCTTGTTATCTATTATGAATCCTAAATACTTTACTTGGGGAGCCATAAACTCGCATTTTTCTTTTTTTATTTTTAATCCGTTAGTTTCTAAGATACTAAATACTTGTTCTATACTTTTTAAGTGCGAATTCCACGATTTACTTTTTATTAGGATGTCGTCGTAAAACACAACCACGTCCGGTACATTTTTAAAGAGATTTATCATTATCTTTTGAAATATTCCGGGACTAGAAGCGAGACCATACACTAGGCGGTTGTATTTAAACAGTCCTCTATGCGTATTGATCACCGTGTAGTTTCTAGACGTTTCATTTAAAACCAATTGATTATATGCTTGTGAAAGATCTAGCTTGGTGAAGTAACGATTACCGCTCAAACCACTAAATAAGTCTTCTACTTTTGGAACCGGGTACCTATCGACCAACAAAGCTTTGTTCAGTGTCACCTTATAATCCGCGCACAGCCGTATTCCGCCGTCCGCCTTCCTCGCTATAACCAACGGCGTTGCCCAGTCCGAGCGGTCCACCGGCTCGACGACGCCTGCGCGCAGCATTGCGTCCAACTCTGCATCCACCCGCGGGAGCAGCGCGTACGGTACGGGTCGCGCGCGGCAGTAAATCGGCTGTGTTCCCTCGCGCACGTGCAGCTTGACCTCTTCAACAGTATACTTGCCCAATGTGCCGTCAAATAGATTCTCATGCCTGGAGACAATATCATTAAGCGAGTTATTTTTACATGGTATCATATTATGTATTTCTGTACACTTATTTAGCTTAGGTATTTCTATACACAATTCAGACAGCCACTGTCTCCCTAATAAACTAGTGCTACCCTTATTTATTACATATAAATCTAATTGTTTTACATTATTATTATACACGACATTTGTCTCCAAGTACCCTATCGGATAAATAACTGAACCATCGTAAAATTTTAATTTTAATTTACACGCTTTTAAAGGTAACTCCTTAAATAATTTAATGTATGTTGAATAACTTATACAAGATAAAGCCGAACCGGTATCGACTTCCATTTTTAAGGGTTTATTATTTATAATTATGTTCATACAGACCGGTCTATATTTCGCTAAAGACATCTGATACATCGGTTCCTCGCCATCAGACGCGTTCTGATCATCCTCGGAGACGTCATCCGTCGCGGCCGCCGGCCCGCTCAACCAGTACGCCGCACCCGCCGCAGCGTGGCTGCCTGCGCTAGCGCCCGCTCGAGCAGGCATCCGCCGGTGTACAATGTAACACCCACTTTTCACTATTTATGTTATGAGTCCCATGTAATAGGGGGCGAACCTATTGCCATATACCGGGCACAATTCCAAACTCCGTGCTACTATTGAGAATTTTTACAAAACCCAGTAATACTTTTCCCGACCCGGAAATCGAACCCGAGACCCCTTGCCCAGCAGTCGCACTTGCGACCACTAGGCCAACGAGGCAGTCAAATATTACCTTTCATTAAAAAAATATTATTCATACGAAAATTATTGATATGATTTATATACATAGCTACATGTGAGCTACGCCGTATCACTTAGCATAGCATTTCGTAGCACGTGGGAGATCGTAGCAATACGTTAATGAAAATATTTCTGCAAATGACCATTTATATATTTAATCGAACCCTCATATCTGTTTCAACAGAATGTTTATGTAACCTATACGTTAGTATTTCAAAATGATTTTGCTGCTTATCAAATTGGTTTTTTTTTCGATCCTACAAAAAGAAAAACTTTTATTCCACACAAAACCCAACTTCTCGAATACATAAATTAAGTAAAACATTTTCGCAGTAAACCCATAATATTCTTCAATTTCCAGCTAGCGAGCTTGCCCTGAATTTTAGGAAAAAAGCCTTTTGAATAAAACGCATCATACAAAACATGCGCGGAATGTGTGAGCATGCTTTTAGTATATTGGTATTCGTACTCACGACAGACTCACGACAGAGACTGTGCGAAGTGGCTCTTAAGTCCCCATTCTACATGAGACTAGTTGTTCCATTGTATTATTATGTAATGGCTGAGACAGCCAACTCTAGTCTCAAAACTGGGAATTTGTAAGCTAATGTTATGGGAATTTTGAGTTATTTTGTTTGTTTCGGATGCATTACATTTTCTGCGATAGTTACTGAAGTAATTGATAAATAAAAGACATGCGTCGAGTACATGCATTTATTTCGAACTGGCTGAGATAGGTATTTGACAAGTAAAGGCATTACAACTACCCGCTACATATTATAATATGCAACAGTAATGGTGGCTGTATCTTACATTTGACTAAGTGGTTTCGTGTTTCGTGTTTCGTATATAAAATGTTTCGATTTTTTCTCCTATGCATGCATCCTATGCATTGTAATACATAGCTTTTTTGAACTTCCCGATGAAAGTCATCAAACCTTTGTTTAATAAAACATATCACGTAAAGAGTTAATTGACTGTTTTCAGGAATTGAAAACGAATTCTGAAAAAATGTTTATACAGAAATATTAAATTAAGAGAAAAATATACCTCTAATACATATATCCCATTTTTGTTGGATTTTTTCAACCAGCAATTCGATGTTGTACACTCAGTTTACTATCAGATATGAAAGGAAATATTTTACACGGAACATCCATTTACCGTACGGCGAAATTCATAACAATATTTAAAACAATTTACCTCATTAACAAAACTAAATTAATAGTGCTTCAAGAACACACGTTGTCCAGTAAAATCCTAGCCAACTTAAGCACCTCCATGGCAACATGTTCCCCAAAGTAATTAATGATCATCAACACGCTAGTTCCTAGTAATACTAAATTATTCTAGAAACTTCCACGGAACTTTTAGTTTATGCAATCATACGGTCTATTAGTTGGGTCGAACTGCTTTTTACTTGGCAGTTATAATATTGGTTTTTCTCTAACTTTGTTTTAGCAAACCAATTTTCGTGGTTAGAGTTTTGAATTCCTTTGATAATGGTGTGAACATGGACTCGTGTATGTAATTAAGGCTGTGCGTTGTAGTGTAAGCTTTAAAGTAGCTTAGAGTAGGTACTCTCACGAGTACCTACTCTAAGAGTAGGTACGGTCACCACTACTACTCGCGAATGTCGGAAGAACCGACTCAGGGGCTATATTTGACAGATTTGGTAGCAGCGTTCTCAGCCTTTTAGACATACATATGGCATTTGACCTAATAATCGCTAATCACAGAACTGAATATAGAAGTATGGACTTGGTATAATTTGTTGAATGTCACTATAAAATGCATACTCGGTTAACCACAAAATATTCTTGTACAAAAATCAACCTTATTCCATATAAATACATTCCGTCTTCAGAGCTCAATCTGAAAAAGTGACGAAATATTTACGACTAACCCAACAGTCATTATTAATATCCAATAATAAAATTAGTAAAAAGCAAGGCATAGTAAAATTTCATCTACTAAAAGCTTTAAAATTTTATTAATGCATTTCACCCTTTCGTTAAGCCATTAAATTCAATTTTAATAAATTAAGAGGACCAATTAAATCCGGCTACGAACATAAATCTAATTAAAAATTTATTACGGGAACTCTAAGTACCCATTTTAACTAGTTTATTGAGCCTTTTTAGAAATTATACTTTGATATTTAGCGACAAATAAGTTATTAAAATATCTACAAATAAATGTTCAATTGCTACAAAGATTGATTTATTCTTCTACTTTAGAGGGTTTCCCATAATCTCCGCATTTGGTAGGTGAGGTGAGTGGGAGATTGTAGAATAAAGAGTTCAAGTTTAATAGAGAACGCTACTATTAGCTTAGCTTAGCATTGTCAAATCTACAAACTTAAGCTAAAAACTCACGCGCGCTTCAAGGAGGGCTTTTAGTCAGTAAGAGTCTGACACTCCCTCTGGCCTAACCCAAGGCGGGAGAAGTCATTGGATGAAGAAGGCTAAAAACTCAAGAACCGGTTTTCACCCGCGCTCGCCGCGGTGATGGACTGGAGTTTTATTTTCAAGACTCACGTGCCCAGAGTTTTCAGCAGTCGTCACGGTTGCGATTATCGCCCGCAAACTTGGCGATTGATTATCGTGAGATGGGCGGTTAAACAATCAGTTAAATTCCAGACCGCCGTCCGTCCCCACGCAGCTGCGGGACCGCGACTCACGCCCGGCGGTATAAGATGACAGTCGGTGCAGCCGGACCCGTAAACAATTGCATACTCCGCGGGTGTAAGACACATCGGGAAATGTGGTTTAATTTTTTACATAAATATTTGTATTCTACAAGGGCTGCGGCTGCACAACCACAGCGGGAGCGGGTTAAAACCACATCGTGAGTCCTTAGACTTAGTCGGTTCTTTATGAAACCCGCAAGAGGAATAGGCACGATGTCAGAACGCAGCATAATATGTACATCACTAAATACATTGTACTGCAATAATGTAAAAATAGGTGACTAGTACCTACAAAAATTCGTAGAACCCTATTTCCATTATTTCTTTAATGTGACTTCAAATCTGCTACTTGAATCAAAATAAGGTCTAATTGACATCTATAACTTTCTTTGATGCTGGCTAAATACAATCGAGTTTAGGGATTGAAAACGAAAAAAAAGAATAGATTGATTCCAAATACAAATTAATCGAGAAACTTCGAATAAATTCTTTGATTGATTATTTATTACAATTATTAGACTTATGATAGCCATCAATGTGTATCATTGTAACTAATGAAAACCTTTTCAAGATATATATATCATTTTACTAAAATAATGAACTAGTTTAATATTACAAATCATAAATAAGAAACATGAAACTGCGTAAGATATAGTTTGTAAGAGACGCGCATGACTTGTCATGCGCTTCGGTCAGACAAAGTCGATGAACTTACTTGTATACATATTCTTATTGTTCCACTGGATATAATGTACACATCAAGCGACGCAAACCAGTAAAAACTGGCCGTTGAAAGTGTGTAAAGACCATACGAAGCGAAACCAAGATAATCTGGTTATGTATAACTTGATATGTTGAGTTAGAAATTAAATTACGTATTTATATTACTAACATTTTCAAAGTTATTGCGAGAACACTTCGCAATAGTTGAGTTATGAAATATATTAATTAATTTATTCCAAAGTTTTAGTTTGTTTAACGACCTAACAATTATTTTAATACTCTTCAATTTTGTGATGAAATTAAGTTTACTTGATACGATTACTGATTTAGTGTCTGTGGTCTACAGCATTCGTACGTATATTCCATTGAAATGTACGTCGTATTTTTTCCCACACTAGAATTTTCTCCTGTGTCGTGGGTGCGTTTACAAACATGGTGCGTTTACATACCTACAACAAGTTCACATACACATGACACCCAGACCCGAAACAATAATCTGTGGATCACACAAAGACTTGTTCCGTGCGGGAATCGAACCCGCGACACGTCGCGTGGCAGTCAGTTGCCCAGCCACAGCGCCAACCGTGCAGTCAAATGTCCTTTGCATTTCTGCCTAGCCTTTGAAGCTGAAAAGGTGTAACATTATATGTTAACATGATATTGGATACTAGCGTCTGTCAAGTACCTTTGCCTTCATGCCCGTTGGATAAAAAGTTCTATGTATATATTAATCCAGAACATAACCTACCCCAGTCCCAAATATTACCCCCATCCGTTTCAACGTTTTGACGTCATCGATTAACATACATTCACACAAGTACACAAAATCAGAAGCTTTCTTTGTTTCTAATATATTTTTTTAAATTTCTTTGTTTAAGTGTGGGAAAGCCATGCTTCGGCACGAATGGGCCGGATCGACCGGAGTGATACCACGGCGTCATAGAAATCCGACGTGAAGCAACGCTTGCGTTGTATTTCGTCGTGTGAGTGAGGTTACCGGAGGCCCAATTACCGTCCCATTCCCCAATCTCTCCAGTCCCTGAATCCCCAACGATCCTCAAACTCCTAATCCCCAAAAAGCCGGTAACGCACTTGTAACGCCTCTGGTGTTCCAAGTGTCCATGGGCGACGCCGATTGCTTACAATCAGGTGATCCGTCTACTCGGCTTATGCCATAAAAAAAATAACCAGTTTCTGTTAGCGGCTTCGCTACAACTCATAAATAATTCCGGTGGGGTAAAAAGTAGTCTATATATTATTCCGAATCAAAAATCTATCTCTGTTCCGAATTTCCGAATTTCATCCCGATCCCTTCATCTGTTTTGGCGCAAAGGAGAAAAAAACAT